GCTTGGCGAGGTCAGGAAGTATCTTGTTTCAAAATGGTGAACTAATGACAGATATTCCGAGTCCTTAAAATGTCGCTTGATATGAAAAACAATTAGCGATCAGGTCAGACGAGTTATATTATAGTTAACATGAGAGGAAATCCCTGCAAAAATGCACGGATAACCTGCAACAACAAAACTCACATACTACACTCACATGCATGCTTTTAGTCCATGACGGGTCGTTCATGTTTGGTTCGGACAGTTGAGGGACCGAGTCGTCCGCGGATGTTTTTACCGGCATCAGAAGCGGATCACGTTTCAACAGGACAGCCGGTTCGTCTACTTTTTGCGAACCCTTAGTTGCCCAATGTGGAGACGGTGGTGCAATAGACTGGTAACGGTCTACCGCTTTCGCTATCCTCGGCCTTATACGTTCCCGGATGGGTTGAATGTTAAACTGTGTGTGTTCATTCATCAGGGGAACAGAGAAGTAAAATGAACTATAAAGGTCTAGATCAGTGGTTTCTACGGCAAAGCCCAGGAGAATAAGTAACAAAAGCAATAAAGTGGGCACCGCGATCACATGTACATATTTAATGCAGTGAAAAATATTTAGTAACGATTCAAGCTCTCTTCGGCAAACAAATTGAAGGTTTCTTAGTCTTTTTTCTCTAATAAATGTAATGAAAACTGATGTGGTAGGTAACCTTGCTGGTGCACATATCTCCGTTTGAGCTAATTAACCGATCACAGCTCTAGTTCCAAACCTCAATGTTCACACGAGTTAAGTGGCCCAGCACTTTCAATAGCTCGGTTTTTTCGTGCACCCTTCACAGTAATATATCTTCAAAACAGCCATCAGTTTGGTCAGGCAAATAAACACCCTTGTTTCGCTAAGATTAGAACTCCAGAATTTATTCCCGCTGGAAAAGTTAGCATGGTAGGCCTGTTTTTTAGACACCAACCACCACACACACACACACACTGGGGTTCGATCGTACAGTAATCAATTTGACAAATGAGAACGAAATTTGAGCTTGATCATGCCGGGATGTATGGATGGTAGACTGACCTGTGAATGATGCAAAACATTTATTGTCTAATCACTAATAACTAGTCACAATTACAAAAATATCAAGTTAACAAGATGGGTTCATTTATTCCGGATTCATTGTATTGTGGTCTTATTTCTAGATATTTTCAGTTCTATTTTGTGGAACTTATATAAGCTACAACGATACGTTCACGATAAGAATGATAAGTTTTGTGGGAGAATCGAAGGATTTGATTTGTTTTGATGATGAAATTCGTCGTGTAAATGAGGCGTGAGCTGAAAAGCTGGGAAGCACTGGATAACTGTTTCGACCTGGTTGGGTCTCATCAGCAGTGCAAATCCATTGATTCAACTCGGGATCGAACCCGGGACCTCACAGATAAAACGCAAGCATACTACCCGCTCGGTCACCGCTTTTTGGACCCGATTAGAAAAATAGTGCTACTGTCTTAGACCATTTAAGTATTGGCACAGTATTATCATCGGATAGGCAGTGCGTAGCCTCAAAACAGATGCTCCTGTGGTGATTCTTTACCAACACAGGATTGTTAACTTTGACAATTGCAAAATCGATTGTGCAGCAGCACCAAGGGACTGGGCTGCTTGCCCAGCTAACCCGAGCGAGAACCCACAACTTGTTCACACCCTCGAGTCTTTAGCAAGCCCAGTGAAATTTCACTGCGCACGCCAGGAATGCCATCAACATGGCTAGATTACAGGTGATAACTAGCTAACCATGCACTCGGAAGCAGTAGACCCGAGTTTCGCTCTTATTTGGGCTCATCAGCAGTGCAAATTCACCGTCCCATCCGGGATTGGAACTCAAGACCAATGGCATGGAAAGCGTGTGTGCTACCCCTATGTTAACCAGCTCATTCCAGGGTTGAACAGAATTAGCAGTTCATGTTTGTTCAGATGTCGTCTTTGGAGATAGTCAGTCAGTTCAATTTAGCCCGACAGTAATGAAGAGATACAGTAGGTTGTGTTAAATCCAATCGGAACCCTCCCACCAAATTGGGTCTTCCGTGTAGGTTATGGGCCAACTAGCCACGAATTTACTGAGCTGAATTAATAATTCGCATTTAATACAGTTAAATGCGCATAGTGTTTTGAAGAGTCGAGGATTGTGTGTGAAGATGAAGTCTGAAGGATGGTCAGTTCTAATCAATCAAAATCACTTATTCCACAGGACTACTCGGAAGTAACTGAGTAAAATGTGGATAACCATAGCAGCACAAACTTTACGAGCCGGTGATCAGAGAGTTTCGTATCAGGTTGAGGGAATATAAGTTGCGCAACAGGCGGAAAATGATCTAGTTAGATCGTAGAGAGAATCAGGGGAATTTTAAACGTCTTAGGTCACGGATGAGAGAGACAAGATGATAGGAAAAGATGAAGTCATCGCCTTGTATGTGTCTGGTTGTTTTTGACTGCAAAACGAGGAAACTAATTACAATTTCTCATTTAATTAAACTACCCATGAATCCCAGGTGAAGATTGTTGAGCATACACATCAGAGGTGTAACGATTTCGGTACGCAAAAGCGGAGTAATTACCGTTCAAGTAGCACGCACTTTTGGTGAGTTCTAACATGAACTACACGGGTGTCCAATGCAATCCGTCGGCTATCACACATTCTTGTTATGATTTGGAATACTGTTTGATTCATCAACTGAAATTACCAAAAACATTATTTTCAGCTACATGTGTGGGACCGCAAAAATATTCCTTGACTGTCATAACGGGGCCGGAACCAACAAAAAGGGTAGGCGAGGCTTTCAATGAGTATCATTAAAATCACAGACCTTTGAAATGAATGACACCAACGAAGCACTGTTGACAGAATCAGTTGGAAGGTATGGCAAAGACGTATTCCAAAAGCAATTCGTTGATGGTTTTCCATTTCCTCTTCCTTGGTTTGAAGTTATCTTTCACCTGAATATGGCATGGTCACTTTCACGTTTTCTGGTATCGTGTATTTTGCAAATCCATTTGAGAGACCGTTTTAGAATTTCCGCAATTTTTATTGTTATACTGCTTTCAAATATACTGTCGAGTACCCTCAGTTTTCGAAGTGCAGCACTGTTGCAGTTGGAGGTACCTGGGTGTCGTTGATTTAAAACCCCGGGAATACCCAATATGATGCAAAAAGCTAAACATGACAAGTCCAGTATCCCTGATTCAGGTAACTGTTGTAATGTTCGATTTCTCACTGACTACTACTCACTGTAAAACAGCCATTGTGTAATCGTGTACAAGAACTGTCATCGATAAGCTAAAACAGAATTCCACACAAAGTACGGACTACAGTGTAATACGGTGAACTCATGTGAAATAGTTGAATACTATGGGCAAAAACATTTGTACTTCTTTATTATCTTCACAGGAAGCCTTTACGCTCATTTCAAACAGTTGACTTATCGTTTTACAACGAAAATATCAGCTTATATTTTTCTATTCTTCTTAAGATTGATCACTAAGTTTTGTTCGTTGTCTGCTGAAGGGTTGTTCCAACAACTAAAATGAGAATTTCGTGTTGTTCCTAAGTTGCCCCGACATTCTACAGCCCAGTTTACCTGATACTTGTTTCTTTTCGAATGCTACCAAACAATAAGTTGATCGCAAATCTCTTCCAAGTAGCCGCAATTTCAAACGAACATAACAGTGGATGTAAAATAACTGAACACAGTGATGGAGGTACTGTACTGAACCGGCTAAGTTCAGTCACTATCATCTGGCTTCGCTAAACGTGAGCATCTCTAAAACTATCATTCAATTGGGTGATTATTTTAACTAGTTTGGTTTCCTTTTCTGACAATTAAACCGGATAGGAAATAATTTTTTGATTCCCTATCAATTATCTTTTAAAATTATGTGACTTGTGGCCTCATAAAAGTTTACACTTACCACAACTTTAAGAATATTACTCTGCACCAGCAACTGTGGTCCCGAATGGGTATCCGCTTGAGCGACACAGATAAGTCGGAAACAGCGTTTTTCCGGTGGTTCGTGCTCCAGATTAAACCATTTCAGATGTTGCAATGTCTGAGTGATCTCATCCGCTCTCACCGGGCCACGGAATCGCATCCCATTAGTGGACTGTTCTATGCGTATTCCTGGTGCCAGGAAATCTGTGCCGACTGTGATAGTCTCCTGTCGGGCAAATTCTAGCGGTTCTTTATCGATTGATTCTGCCGGACATAAATCCACATCACAATGCGAAACGGCATCATCTGAAAACGCAACCAAAGGATATTAATAAGATGATCAGATTTATTTTCAATTTGTTTTAGTAGTTTAGAGGGGCGAGAAGAGGTAATGCACTGTAAAGCGGCTAATGTAACGTTTACCTTGTGTGAATAGTACGTGAGCCAATACGAAACATACTCTATCTCCGAAGATGAACTGATCTATTATTCGGAGTGTTTGTGAGTTTTGGATCACGAAACCTCGACGAACTGGTATCCCTTTGATTTCCCTATCAACATATTTTATATAAATTGTGGTGATGATTTTATGAGTCAGTTGGATTTTGAAGTACAAACCGGTTAGGACAGGTGAATATAAAGGAGGAAACAAGTTAAGCGGTACCCACGAAAGCTATTGCCAAAAAGTGCATTGGATAGCAGAGACACTTGGTGACTTGTAAATGTCATGTGGCTCACCAATTATCTGACTAATCAAAAAGCAGTATTCGAAGTTTTATGAGCCTTGTGGAATTGGATATGTCAGTAATATGACGCACCATACAGAGATATATGAAATACAACTGACTCACAAATCAAGAGCCCTGGGGAATACGCTGTGCAGCTTCCCCACTCAGTTGTGCTGTGGTCTTGTCAAAGGGTTACAGGGAGGAGCATTCATCATATGAGCTACTTGAATCCAGGCAAAATATAATTGCTATATCATGTGCTGCTTAGGGGTCACCAACGTCTGCATTCCAACCGGAATGGTCCATGTTGAAAGTAAATTGATTGAAGAACTTCAAATGACCAGGTTTGAACCACCTCGCTCACGCAATGCTTTTAGCCCTTAGTAATGAAGAATATGTTTCCGTAATCCATTTTCCAGTCCCAGTTGAATAAAAGAGCCGAAATTGTTAACGAACCGCATGTAAAACCTTTCCACAATCAACCCGAGATTACTTGATTAAAATTAAAGTGGATAGGAAAATATGTCGCAGTAAACGGTTGGGTATTTAATGGGTAGCAAGAACCCTTCTTCAGTAATAGCAGTTGCAAAACATTAATGGGAAACAGGTAAACCTTTCCTTGGTATTTTGCTGTTTCTAAACTTCCAGCTTGACCAAACAGAGCACTATTAATTTGGACATATAGTTATTCTACAATACTGTTTTATCTTCTTTATTATCATTATTATCACTTAATAATTTTTCTAATGAACTTTAAGAACAGGGAGAGACTGTTAAAAATCAGGTGCTACTGACGTTACACTGAAGGGGGAATTCGGAAATCAATGAAGGGATTTTAAATCACTACCTCCGTAAAAAGTAAATGATTACCGTATCCACTTAGATGCTGCCACCAGGAAAGGGAGTTTGGGATTCCGATTATTTTCAGAGTCTAATACAACGGGATACATTGTCAGGTTAACGTCACCTAAACGGTAACTTGATCGATACTCATTAAAAGCATATGTTTATGTGGTATTATTAGGATTGCACAGCTTACTTGCTCTGCAACAGAAACGATATCCAGAAAGAACAGCAAAACTCCATTCTTTTTCAACTTTTGAATACAAATACAACAAAACTTTTGTATCACTCACTCATTTCAACCATTTCGGCGTTGTTCGGTTTTGCCAGTGAAAGCCAAGACAGTTCGACCGAAGGGAAAAGCCATACGCCTTGAATCAATGCGCTAGAAGATATCGTGAGCGGTTCGGACAGAGATTGACTGGTTCGAAGGATAAGTGAGTGCATGGGTACGACACGCCCGGTGCTCGAGACTAACTGTCCGGTAGATTTTAAATCACCCAACCGCTGATCTGATCTGGACGTCTGCGGTGGTGCCCAAATGGATGATTCTACTGTCTTCGTGAGGGGCAAACGAACTAAGTGTATTGTGGAGACTGGGATGTCTGCGGCCTGACATTCTGATGGATATCTGACAAAAAACACAATAAATCGCATAGGTAAAAAAAATAACCGGTGAATTATTGCGTTACCTAATTCCAACACTTATTAGCATTCAGGATTACATGTATCGTTTTGCAGGCCACAGCTGAACTTGAGTTACCAGTCTCTTTTTGGCTTCATTACCACTGTGCATTAGGAATGATTTGGAAAATGCGTTTCATCAGCTTCAAACATTCTGAAATGAAGACATGCTTAAATCTGAGAAAAAAGCGGAGAAAACGATGAAGTTACAAAAACACAAAGCTTGCGTATACCAAATGTAACAATAGGGAGTAAATAACTGCACGAGTAGCACTGTTTATGAAAATCGCTTAAAGTCTTTTTCAATCCAGTAAGCTTTTGATTCAGGAAAACTTCCACTATCAAGTTATCCCCCTAATATTTCCATTTCCTCATTCTGTGTCACGATTCAACCCAAGCTTCAATTGTTCTTCATCCCATCATCACTAGTCTGGGCTTGTATGGCAAATCGAGTCGGTCAATGAGATGACAGGCACAACACCCGCCCGCAGCCGCCGGATTCTACGGCATTCAGGCGCCTGATTTAGTGCAAGACTGATATTACCTTATACTTCTCCGATCAAACCTTGGCCTCCGTCATCCAGTTGTTTCAGTCCCCGTTTTTTAGTCAAGTTTATGTCCAAGCGCTAGGTAGCCGGGCTGATCAAGCTGTAGGAGCATGCACTCATTCATATACGGACATTCATAGTGATATACTCGATTTTGGCAAATATTGGAGGCGTAGGATATATTTCAAGCTTTTATGAGTGATCCGTCATAAGAGATGCAACTGTCCAAATGGCAGATTCTGTCCACTGCCCGGTTAAGCAGAGATTAGGGGCGGAACGAACTCGAATCTGTCACGAAACCTCACAAATTGAAAGTACAAAGGTCGTGCTGAATGTAGCTACAGCAGCAACAAAAAGGTTTACCCGAAACGAAAGTTTTACTGTTTTCTTCTTTATTTATAGGATATTTTGACTGTATCCTACAGACCCAACAGATTTACACTAATGTCTGTTCATTGCTGAAAATTTGGAAAGTTCTCCGGAATTCAAACGCGTGAATCCAAACATCACTCAGACAATGTGTAAATTGCAAAACGACTTGTTCTGGCTTGACCGTAGCCCGAGTGTATTCGACTATTCCACGGTCGTTCTGTATAGCGTCAATGAGACCGTTGAGCAACGCGTAGCGAAATGCGAACCCCGAAGTGAGAACGATATTGATCCGCAATGCGTACGGTACTGTTTATTTCATTAGGCGAGTCAAAGAACAACATACCTCAACAATGCGACTCCGTCGCTATACAGCCAAAAGGGTGAGTTCAAACAAATGGGTAGAGACCTGATATAAAGACGAGGAAATAAATATACAAAGAGGGAACATAAATACCTGTTAGGTCGAGCAGGGATTCTGTTCACTTAACGTGAACAGCCAAGATAAATTCAAACAGATCGACAATTATCTGTTTGCCAAGGGGAGAAATTCTGCTCACCAAACGTGAACAGCCAGTGTTCAAAGTCAGGTACGCACTCGCTAAGAGCAAGGCAACGAATAAGGCCACAGGGCCAATGACGGGGCATATAGCGAGGGACTGGGGCGGTTATGGATCGGGGCAATGACACGCCAAGGCCACGTTAGTGCACAAGACACGGGTGGGATCGATAGGTAGACACACAAGGTTATTGGACATGAGAATCCGACATCAAGCAACCATAGACAATGACTAACACGGGGGATCAAGCTGTGAGCAAGGTCCAATTAGGAATGACTAAAGAGAACGTGTTCACACAGGGTCAAAAAGGGGTAATTGGGGAACAACAGTGGTCACGCCTCGAACCGAGGAGAGAGATTTTCTTCACTCTGGTTTCTACACAAGGTGTTGGTACAGATGAAGTTGTTACGGATAAAATGTTCAAAAATATCCCCTCATTAGTAAATATTGTAAGAAAACTACTGAAAAATGGGAAGATTAAATTCATTGCGATTTATTATAGCTGGAATGAGCAACTTAGATACTACTTTAAACCGGTGAAAACACACCTACTTCAAGTAACCCAATCTCCACACACACGTACGCGCACCCGGAAGCACCATTCCATGACCGTTCTGCATGGGCTGCGGTAGAGCGTTTAAACCGGCACGTGGAGTATTATCAGAAGAACTTTGGGCAACAACTGAAGCGCAAAAGCAGTTCCACAATGTAAATGCCTCGCAACTTCCTTCCCACTGTCACAATTAACTAATGAAGCCGTTTTACTTAACGTCTGACCAAGTGAGATCAATCTGCAATGGACGGTCGTTTTAAATCACAATCAGAAAGTTATTTGTCGAACTTGTTGCTTTTTGTTATCGAGATTTTAAGTGTTATACTTAAGTATGCTCCAGATGAAAATATAAGAAACCTCATCCTGGGAAATTGAATAGTTGTTAGATAAATAATGTATACTGAAAAAGTCCATCGAGTGTTAGGGGTTTTCTAAATCCTTCTGTGGGGAAAATTCCATTTGTAAAAAGGCAAAATCCATCTAAACAACGGATGTCATACTGTAGTCTATTTTGAAAGTCTTCCGAACCGGACTAATTCAGTAAATACTGAAGTGATAAACTCACTTGACAGACGTGCTCAGGCGAATGGCTACTGGTTCCGGGCGTTGTGTAGGTAAACGTTTGATGCGGGGATTGAAAAAGATCACGTGTTGCATCAGATCTGTCAAATCAGTCAAGTGATTTGCCTGGACGATCAGATTATCCAAGCGCGACTGATGCAGTGGGGGTAAATCCGGCAGTTGTGCATTGTTTAACGGTCCGGTCACGTGAAGTCGCGGATAGCAATTAGCCAAGCATTGCACTTGTTCATTTGGCATCTCAGCTCCAATCGAGAGCATCATGGCAGCCAACTCACCCTAATGGATGCGAAAATTAAAAACATCATTTGCTGCAATCACTTCAACTTAGGTAACGACTGATACAAACTTGATGTACATGTGATACTGGTAGTTATTAAATAGATTGAAATGTGTTCCATTTCACCTGTTCCCGAGCTTGGCAATTTGTTTGCAAACGTTTCATCACCAGCCGAGGTGACATCATCAGTGTTTGTGAAGTGGCCCGAGCTACGAGAACCCATTTTCAATACTCTGTCAACCGACTGAAATGTCGCGAATTTTCATTATTGCAATAATAAACAGAATCAGTGTTTCGCTAGCATTTACTTAGTTTAATTTTTCTTTCTGTACAACTGTACACTTACGTACGCTACTTTTTTATTATTTTCTTCTGGCCACTAAGTTGGCTCAGCGAAAGAGGGACAAATCTGTGAGTGGTATTAGTTTAATGATTTGCAATGTGAATAAAATGAAGATGTACCGTTCATGATACTGAATCAAGGAGCGTGCCTAAAAAGAGATTAGATTGGTTACGAAGCATTCAATCAGTTAGGGGACAAATATAATGTTTGGATCCGTGGGCATCGTTTCCAAAGTCTATTCGGTTTTGGTCTTCGTCTAACCCTTATCTGCCCCGATACACATCATAAACCGAGAAAACGGCGGGCTGCTTAGGGCATGATTTCAGCCGCGGTGACCTACGTTTGTCAACAATTAAATGTTCCTAAAATGTGTGTAAGAATTATATTTTACATCCTCGTAAACACTGTCTTTTATTGACCTAGAAGCATAGCAAAAGAGGAAGAAATATTCGGTAAGTGCATTTTCCGTTCAATTCGAGTTATGCTTCATCATAGGTAAACATAGTTCTTTTCAAAAGTAATTCCTTCAAGAAAAACACCAGCCATCAGCTTCGGTTACAGTTACACAAACCATTTCCAATTCGGATAAGGGAGACTAAAGTAACTTAACTCATTGTCGCCATTATTCTCATTACATTTGTTGTAGTATTCCTTGTACAAGGTTGGTAAATAAAGCATCACAAAGCAGACGCTATCATAAATCAGAGATTTGATCTCTGCCTGGTAAGTTCCGGTACTTGGAAACCCATCATGTTCCAATTCATTTAAAGTTGATTTGAGTCAAGCTGCCGATGGACAGCGTTGGTATCCCACAGAAATAAGTTGAGCAACGCCCCCCCCCCCTCCGTCACCGCCGCAGGGGGAGGGGGGGTCGGGGCGGGATAACACTGAACATGTTGTACTTGCACTGAATATGATTTCGGTATACTCGGATCAACCGCTTGAAGATACAACAAAGGCCGTTTGGAAGCGAGTGACTCGCTGAATTGTGCGAATTAGATTAAGGCAAATTTATTAACGTCCACCGGTGAGAACGGAGGCACTAACATACAAGGTTAACTGTGTTCTGAACTGATTTATAAGACAATTAAAACCGCGATCATGACAGATCCACATATATTTCAATTAAACGTCCCGTCAAAGAATTCTTAGCCTGCAGCTGTTCTCCTTACGGAGAGAATTCGATGATTGATCGCATTGGCACATGAATTCCTTTCCTATTCCAAATTTTGCTTGCTTTTCTTCAAACTAAAAATTCTTAAGAACGCTTGATACTGGACTTACCGTAAAATGTTGCACGTGACGTGCGATTCGTGAGTGCCAACAAGCGCCGACAGTTAAACGTGTCCTGGTCGAGTGGTGTCGAAGCTCGTGCATGGGAACATCTTCGGTGATTTGTACCAGATTAGCATCAAAAGGAACTGGATCTCCGTCAATCAGCAATTTGACCTGAATTCAAGCAACATGCAAAAGGGGTCATTTTCGAAAAACAGCGACACAACCAATCATGCATCTCCACTGGTTCCAGTAGGTTTGACGAAGTAAGTACAAAATGCATGTGAATTATATCCATTTGGACCTGTCGAGTGGTGTGGCGAATGAGTTCCAGATTTTTCCAAAATCGATCAGCTCATTTAGTAGCTACATGATAGCATCAGGAATGTTTGCGAATTACTAGGGCTCTAAATGAGGAAAAGAATGAATCGATCACTTGTTTTAATCGGGCTGAAACTCTCTCATTCTTTTAATCAGACTTTCATGGGAATACTGCTTCTAGTGTATTATGTGAGTCCAAAATAAGCTTATTTATTTTTTCGTAAGAGAGAATAAATCGATTCCTGACATCGGGGAAATTCGGTTAGTCCCCTGGGGTGATCTGTTGGTCAAAATAAAACTCCAAGTTGGCTGAGATAACATTCTGTGAAACAAATTTGACCGACTCAAAGTCGATCAAAATGAAGATTTTAAAGGCATCATTATGCTGTCACCTTTTGCTCAATAGGATGCCTACCTTGTTGTGGTCTGATGCATTTCACCGATCCACGTCCCAGAGATTAGATAGCCAAGTCTCAGTATTGCACTACTGGGTCTTTGTGACTATGTGATTCCTCACTTCTATTATTCTGCACGTTAGGCTATAAAGCTAAAATTTATTAAAAGAAGTTAGAGGGTGAAAAACGCACTTGATCACTACACCACGGATTATTCGTATTGAACTAGGTGAAAACTAGCCTTGTTTTCTTCTGAAGCGGGAAAACCAATATATTTGTAATAGGATGCGATTGTTTCATTTTTTACGCAGTACAGCAAAAACAGAGTCAAGTACGTACCTAATGTAGAAAATCTAATTCACAGGTCATGGATCAAATTAGAAGTATCCTATAATTGATGGCACTATAGAACAGGTGAGATCAAACGCGGCACATTATTATTATTATATCCAATATTTCAATTTGAGGGGCTAGCACCCTATCATGGGATTTCGATAGCACGGTGAGTTGTTACCTACTTTGGTCTACTTTATTATTTCCAGTGTATGAAAAGGTGGGTTCGGAAGTTCTACTGTAAGACACACTAGCGAGTGCAGTACCGTTTGAATCCTTATTTTAACAACTCAATCGCATGTGTCGTTTGGGTGCAGTTTATCAATCCCTATCAGAATCAAGTGAATTTATTGAATAAAGCAAAAAACCTGCAAATTTTTAATAAAATCACATCAGAATGGCATACCTGAGTCTCTACTGTCCAATCACTCGTCTCGTCCACTGATCCTTGAACAACTTCCGCTGGAGGTGGACGGAAAGATAAGGCATAGTGATGCCACAGATTGTCACAGACATCATCCACCGAGAAACGCCACTGCGACGGATACAAACGAACCCGCTCATGATTTCTCGAATTTACAGGTTCCCGTCGAAGAAGCATGGTCAATTTGCAGTTGTGTACATACACGGCAAAATGGTGTCGATTCTTTTCTGATAGAGGACCAAATGAAAGAAATAAAATGTGTTGGCTTTGGGATTCAACAAGAGGAGTTGAAAAGGTTCTGCGCGAAACAATCTTTGAACATTCAATCTGTTCTGATCTATGACTTCAAATGGATTGGGAATGTTTATGATAATTTCTCAAAGACAAAACGTTCCAGCTATACTTTTGCGTATGTGATATGGCAAAGAGACGAGATAAAATTATTTAAGTAAAAGGCATGCAACGGACACATGCGAAGGCCAGTATGATAACCTTCAATGAGACATGTGACCGAGGATAGTTGAAGCGCACTCACAACTTTTTTAAACAAATGATGGGGGTTTCAATTTGTACAAAGTTTCTCGGGAACAAGTGCAAAAGTCTTACGAGACGGCATTCTCCCATTTTGTCCGAAATAATTGCATTCATAAATAGCCAGCCATGAAAGTAGATAGGAAATCAGAATTCGCTTCGTCGACAAGTCGCTATTTTTGCCGAAGTCCAACCATGATTGCTAATGTATCCGTACAAGCGATCGCAACTTTTTATCTCCCCTCACAAGTAAAAAAATTTGTCGCGCTAAACAGAAGATCAAAAGTGGGGGCCCGAAAGACAACAAGCAATGATCCGTTGAATAACCAATAAAATATAAGATTGTTATTAAATCGAACAGTCACACTGAAGTTCCCATTCAAAAGTATCTCCTACCGACATTCGGGAGTATTCACCAATGCAACCACTTTAACCTTAAATAGTTAGCGTATATCTGGAACTGGAAGCTTCACTGTCCAGCACGAAAACTAAATACCTCTCGCGAGCTTTTATGGAGCATCGGAATCTGGAAAGTCATACAGAAAGGCGGAGAGTGGTCACAGATATGCGCCATAAAATCAACGTACTTTTATCATTGGTCTGTTGACCGAAATATTGAGCATCTGTTTTTCAATCACGCCAATAGTGAACCCACGCATCCGATCCCGTAAAATTAGATTTCAATTTACTAATATTTTTGCATTTTTATATATCCATCAAATTACCCTTGGTTTCATCCTGCAATAATTGGGTCTAATACTTGAAGTGTTGTCAGCGCTCTTATTCTCATTGTTTTGTACGATAATTCTTTGAGAAATCATCGCGCAGGGATTTATTCAAGGATAGCTTTCATTTTAGAGGTTTGACTGAGGGAATTGGAACTCTAATCTATTAACTCACTCTTGTCTTTCTTGGAAAGTTTTGCGGGAGACCCATCTCTCCATGTGCTGTGCTTGCCCAGCACGTCAAAACGCAATGGACCTTGATTGGTTCTAAGCCTGGCCAACTCGGGTACATTACACTTCATTTGATGAAATTGTCCAATCCACCCAGTCCATATCTTTACTGGACCATTGTGAAGATCAACTTGATCTGAATGATTTGCAGTCTTTCATAAAAAGGTTCATGGTTTGGAAGTGCGTGCCTTCCTTACTTCAGCCTTCTGTCCACTGAGTCGACCCTAAGGCAAGCTTGATCAAGTATTCCGGATTCAGTGGGAAGGGGTCGTTTTTCGAATATCCAAAAAGATATTGGGAAAACTTACGAGGATACCTAACTTTTTCGCGGAGTGTACTAGCCTATATTCAGCCTTTCAAATTCTAGAAATGCATGGTAAACCGCCATTTGCATTCGTGATTGGAATTTTTTTGTAAATACCAACACATTAAAGAGGATTTTATATTGTGCGAGCATATTGTGCCGAGCATAATTCGACGGGGAAACCACCCGTGCTCATATTATTTCCCTGCGTACTAGTGCGAAGTAAGTATTTTGGATTAGTTGGCAAGATCATTATTCGTAGTGAACCAAGAACTACTAATAGTTCATCCACTGAGCATGTAGAGGTAAATAGAGATTCGACGTAATATTTCTGGATCGACAGATCAATACTAAACCCTAAGAAAGGATATCGCTGTGAATGGATCATAGGACTTACTAGAACCACATAGTATTACTCTCTCTCCAAATAATTACAAAATAACTACATGATGTGTCTATATAACTTTGTTGTATTACCGTTTATTTTGCCCGTCTTTTGCAAGCTATCGAAGAAGATTGTGTGGTACAAATAAACATTGAAGGACCTGTGAGTCGTTTTACTGTTGGATAAAGATCGGGGTAGGTAACGTATACGGTCATGTATTGGCCGACTCTTGTGACGCCGCGACCTTTGTCAGATTTCTTGATCCCAATAGCTGGTGTTTTGAGGCTCGTTTATGAAAAATAATAATGGTAATACTTCATAACAGACACAATATATGCGCAATGGTACCCACTTTTTGTTGCTTCTATTGGCCAAACGACTTACAGAATTAAAATTTCTCTGTTTCGACGACAGTTGCTGGCTTACTAGTTGGAAGATAACCAGACCTCATTTGAAAGATAGCACGTGTACTCATAAAAATGACTCACAGGCATGTCACTTTTTATCACGGCATTCATAGTCGCGTAACCGCGAACGGTGATACAAGGAAACTAGGAACATTGCAGCGGAATATAGAGTTTGGAATAAATACTCTTCACCCATAGCTATCAATATAAAGACATGATAGTGGAAAATGAATTGTATTTTTAAATTGAGAGTCAAGTCGCTTGAGTTCGATTAATACCCGTAGATATGAAACAGTAAATGAAACCACGGTAGTTGAAAGCGGTTACCATGACAAGTGCAGCCTTTTTCCCTGGCTGTTTAATTCGGTGAAACGGGGGCCAATGCACTTTTAAAATTAGCTAACTCAGAAAAGCAACACGTGCAGCTCTGCCACGAACGATTCTGATCGCCGGAGTCCTTACGATCACATGCTGTGCAGTGTGATAGTTCCATAACCAGGAAAATGTATGATGTAATTAAACCCAAGTCTCACGGAAAGGAAATGGGAGAGAAGCGAACAGTGAATAGATTACTTACAGAGCCGACTTGGAAATGGAAAGTTGATCTTTACAACAAGGGTCATAAGAAATTCGGCGCTTTGATAAGAAAGCAAGAAGTATTCGACAAGACCATGAAATTAGTACCAAACTTGAACGGCTGGTCTGCTCACAGTCCAGAGTTAAAACTCATTTGAAGCCAATAGCGTATCGATTTCAGGCAATGGGAAACTTATTATCTGATTGGAATACTAAAAATAAAATTCTGCGTAAAAGCATTGCTAATAACAAGCATCTACATTGCAGACTTTTACTGATCGAGATGAATACATCGCCTACGTCGTACTATAAACCATTTTCATACTTACGCACTCATAATTGTTTTGTGAATCACATTTCCGTTCCAGCGAATTGCAAAATAAGTTGTCACAGTATCGAGATGTTTCATTTTCTCATTGAAAAATTTACCACATTACATTTGTTTGGGGGCATTACAAACAAGTTCGGCCGCAAAAAAAACGAATGGCTATTATTACTTCGTGCACCATAGGAATAAGTCATCAATTGATCTGGTATCTTGTCTCACCGCAATGTCCAGTCAATCCAGCGCATTTCATCTCATCTCACGCTCCATTGCGCGTACCGTTTCACGCAGATGTCACGCAAGCAAACCATGTTCCCCTATCTCCTCTGGGTAGGAAGCATGCTGGCGAGGATCGATTGATCGATAGACTGAGCAGTCTAGCTGTCCATTGGCGGGTGCATGAAAGCATACAATAATGCTTTATTAATCAAATTATAATATGAAATCTGTAGTTTTTTTCAGACGAGGACCATTCTATTTATACACATTTGGATCCTCTGGGTTGGGTAAAACGAGACCAAATCAATCCGTTTTGAGAAAGTGGCTCCCAGAAAGATTCTCATTTGGACGAAACAGTTTAAGTTTATTTTATGGGTTTTTTTATTGAGTCGCTTAGGAGTAGAACTAATGATCAGTGATAGCAGTCATTTCAGACGGAATTAAAAACAGTTGGCCGGAATGCGGTGCACAGTTTGAACAAACAGTATGCTAACTGGATTTAATCGGTGGGTTTGTGGTTTGGGGCGGTGGAATGTTTGTTTCAATGGTACTCACCTTCTTCATCTGAAATGCACACAATATGTTCACGACCATTTGCCTCATCTTGCGTGACCGGATGAGCAGGAGGGCTGTGTGGACCATGGCGCATCCAAAAAGTCAGTGTGAATGGCACGTTGTCTAAACGATGACGTTTGACCAAGAGTCTGTCCGCCGGGACATCGGACTGATTAGAACCGCTAAATGCCACTGGAGTTTCTTGTTTGGGAGGCAGCAGTTCTACCACAGAATCTGAGAAGACTCCTGTAATGTAGGGGAACAGAGAGCGGTCACTGTTATTCAAGGCCTTCCTGATGAATGCATACCTGTATGTGGATGGGTTGTGATTCAAAATTATGATTTCTGAGACGTGCTCCTAGGCAACCACGAAAAACTGTAGATGTTTTCTTCTAGGTACAATGTTCACCCGCATGCAGTGGACGTAACTAAATCTTTTGATAAATGCTTTCTTCGAAAACCACTGTAAGACACAAAACAACGGATATTACGTGGTTATTCACCTTTTATTAGGAAGTAGTTGCGGTCTTCGATGGAAAGTAACAGGTTTTAGGCTATTCTATATAAACCCATTGAACTTTTACAGACACTGGGCATTGCGGGTGATCCTGATAAATGTTGGTAATGATCATTCCTGAGAAGATCATTCATTCCACACAAGTTAAATGAATTTATTCGCTTTCGACTTGTTCCAATAACCTCTGAAGAGCAGTGGACAGCTAATTTACTGCTTTGAAAACTCGTCGATAGTTTGTCTCCCTGAGTTACATGCACTGCTAACGAATACCCACTAGGACAAAACAGCCCAATTGAGTGCCCGTTGTCGGCCATCACATATCAGACGCATACGAGAACTGTGACTGTTCCAGTGGGCTACTCTAGTTGCAGTGTCTGATGCACAGAATCCAGTGTAGTTGGGAGTAATTCGAATTTTTGATGAATCGTTCGTTAAAGGACGAACATTTGAGGTGATTCATTGGAAAAACGGTTATTTGCCGCACGTCTAGGCATCTACCAAGCACAGTTTGTGGGCATCATTCTGCGTGACCGAGAAGAACAGCCGCTTCAGCGAACCGTAGATCTAGACAACCGAGTGTTTTCCTGATCCGGGACTGATGAGTGTCATGTCAGAAGGTCATTGGAAAGCATTAGAAGAACTTAGAAAGAACGACGATGTTGCTCTTTTAGTAAGTCTGAAGAATTGAGAGACGATGGTCTACCAGGATGGCAGAGCCTGCACCGAAAGATTTGGCGTCTAACGGGACCAAACTTCCATCCAGTTCAATCGCCCGATATATACTGGATTGCAAAAATATGAAAAACCTAGGGACGCCTTTCGTATCTTGATCCGCCAAAAAGGTAACCGTCTACACAGTTCGCTGAAGCGGCTGCAATTCGACGTTACAAGCCCGATTTATGTAAACAGACCGAATTTGTGGCTAGCCTCGCGCTGCCCTGGTAAGTGTCACTGTCCTCCTCCCACCATGCAGTGATTCCGCCTCCTGTCCTAAAGCCCAATCCGGTTCATACTAGTGGCCTTTGCCATTTATGTTGATTTATTTCTCTTACCCGTGTGTGTTCGCCTGTCCCCAAACCGGTCACTCTTTTAACCAAACGTGATCCGAATTTATGTACACGGCTGATGACATTACCACGAAATAGTTGAATTCAACACATCCTGTGATCATCATGCTTCTTCTTGCTTTCATAAAAATTTGGAAAAATACTCAATCCAGTTGCCTGGTCTCTTGCAAACTCCTAACTGTAATTTTTATTACACAACTCTTATATTAAATCACGGTAGCCTACTGTTCACAATTACCATCATAGTTTTATGGCACTGACATGGTTCGAAACAGACCTAAACATAGGCCAAAAGAAGAGATTCAATTAGCCAAAACACCACCGATAGGCGTATATGCATTGTGTCATATGGGCATGTGCAAAAAACTTAAAAAACCGAGCTGCTTTACCAATTTCTTCTCCTAGTCTGATCCTTATTGGTCTAGACGAAAACTCCGACTGTTGTCTTTCTGTATACCAACTGATATTTGACCCGGTGAAATAACCATAAATGTCGTTAGTAGAGAAACAGCACAAGGTGCACACTGTTCTGAAAAATACTTATAATGTTAGTCGCGGACCGGAATGTCAAATGCTCTCTGATTTGGCTCACAGCATCTGTTCCCAACTTCCATGAGTGACTCTTAAAAACAGTCTACCAAATGGTACATCCCTGAGATCACACCCTCATTCTAGATAATTGGTTAGTTCGTCCGCTCTTATGCACCTTTTTTCCGTTAGTATAAAATGAAGTTGATCGGAAACTGACAGGAAAATGATTACTTCAGAGTATCCAGGCTTAAATCCGGGAAAAACCCGTTATGCAGATTGATTGTCGGTGCAAACCAAGTCGGGGCACAACTGATCAACCGCAAAGTGCAAAGAGAACAAATAACTCCATAGATAGATCTCCATGTTTTGGTCTGAAGGAACTCAACTGTTATTCCTATCAAGTAAAACCACTTTTGATCAAAGTTGAGACTACTATGGGAGTCTGATAACTTCAAAGATATCAGGGAGAATCGGAAGTTCTACATGATATAGACTGACTGGAGAACTA